ACAAGCCTAAATTTGTCTCTTTCACCCAGCAGTCCTAGTTCTGTATTCTGAGTTCAAGAAGAAAGAATCTAATTTTTGTCTATCTGGTAATGCTTCAAGTATTTGAAGCCATTAGACTTCCTGTAAGCCTTCTTTTCTTTTGGCTAAACATCTACACTTCCTTTAACCAATACTTATATACATAAACATACAGCCCCTTCTGGCAACATGACTGTTCTGCAATGAATACTTTCCCATTTTATCAACATCTTTCTTAAAATGAGCACAAAAAACTGAACATAATACTTCATAAGTGTTTTAATTAATCAATCAATCAATCAACATTTATTAAGCACCTAATATCTACCAGGCACTGTGCTAAGTGTTAGGGATACAAAAAGAGGAAAAGAACAGTCCCTGCCTTCAAGAACCTTATAGTCTAATGGGGGCAAACATGCAAAGTAATATATACAAACAAGTTACATACAAAATAAATAGGAAAACAATTAAAAGAGGGAGGACACTGGAACCAAGAAGGGTTAGGGAAGGTAGAAGTTGGGATTTTAGTTGGGACTTAAAGTAAATCAGAGATACCCCTAGTCAGAGTAGAGTAGGGGTGGGCGTGGGGGGGGGGGTGTATTTCAGGTATAGGGGATGGCCAGAGACAAGAGACAGAGAATCTTGTTCATGGAATAGCTAGGAGGTCAGTGTCACTGGACTGAAGAGTACAGGTCAGGGAGTAATGTATAAGAAACTGAAAAAGTAGGTTATGACAGGCTCTGAATGCTAAACAGAGCATAATAAGGGCAAAAAAATCAACTTATTGCTGGCCACTGTTACTCTTAATTTAGAATAAGATCCTATTAATTTTCCTTGGTTGTCATTTAACTTTTTATTCTTACTGAAATCACAGTTCACTAAAACCCACCCATTCACTTTTCAGACAAACTGCTAGCTACTTCATGCATCCCCTTACTAGGATTTGAGGACTTTTTATTTAACCCAAGTATAAGACTTTGTATCCATCTATCCCTACTAAAATACAAAATATACAAGTAAATATCAACAACAATAATTATAAAACTCATGTAGAAATAGATAAGAAAGGAAATTAGATCAGTAAAATATGTTAAGTAAGACCTATAAACATGTGCTAAAGAGTCTCATGTTCGATAAATCTAAGAACAAACTCCTAGGGAAGAGATTCTTATTTGACAAACACCTCTAAAAATAAGAAAGCAACTTAGTGAAAAGGTTTAAATCAGCATCTTATGTAAATTTCAAATCAATAAACAATCTAAATATAAAAAACCATGATGTAGCAAAATTAGAGAATGAAAGTTCTATCTTTCAAAATTATGTATGATGCTAAAATTGTTAATCATAGACAATATTGCAGAGATCTTAATAATAGACACTGGCTTCCTCACTGTGACACAAAAAAGACACCTCACATCTTGGCACAAAGCATTTTCTCTGGCTGTCCTCTGTGTCTGGAACATTCTCCCTTTTCAACTCTGTCTAGTAACCTTCCTGGTTTCCTTTAAGTCCCAACTAAAATCTCAAATTTTACAGAAAGCTTTTTCCAACCCCTCCTAATTCTAATGCCTTCCTTCTGTTGATCATTTCCTACTTATTTTGTATATATTTGCTTGTTGTTTCCTCCATTAGACTGTAAGCTCTTTGAGAGCAGGGACTATCTTTTGCCTCTTTTTTGTATACCTAGCACTCAGCACAGTGCCTTGTACATAGTAGGCACTTAATAAATGCTTATTGGACTGAATTATTAAAGACAATTCTGATCACATACAATTAAAAGGTTTTTACAAAAAGTTAAAATCAAAGCAGGTAGAGTAAGAGGAAACTATCTACACTGGGGGAAAATTTTTGCATTAATTACCTAATAAAAGACTGACAAGCACACTCTAGGTTACTGACATATGCCACATCACAGTTTTCAAAGAGAACAAATGCAAAACAATAGTAACTATTTGAAAAAAAAAAAGTTCAAAATTAAATTGATTTCTCTTTTTCATCTACATACTTGAGCAGGTGACTTATCCTGAGCAATGGACTTGTTTGCAGAACATACAAGTTCTCTTTCTGAATAAGGAAAAATAATATAATAGAACTAGATCACAGAAATTTGAAAAATTCCTGACTTTTGTCCATGGTTACACAGCAATCCAGAGACAATCGCTGTAACTTTTTGTACCTCAAATTTTCTGGCTATTTGCAAAATGATTTCAAATTTTCTCCCAGAAGGCTCAGTAATGATAAAATATTTCTTTTGTTACTAAAGAAATTATTATTTCTCGAAATGGTCATAACTACTAGCCCCCAAATGAATATTAAGTGGTACAACATAGTTAAATGATTGTGCTTGGTAGCAATCTATGAAACATAAGGTTTAAAATTTGCTTTTTCTCAAAATATGACAAGCTGCTTTCTAGTTATGTCAGTAAGTAACTGAGCAAGTTGCCTGCATAAATTACCAAAATATTCCAACTTTCTAAAAAAAACAACCATCTATACTACTAATCTTTTCCCCACAAAGTATAGATAGAGGAAAACAAGCTAAGTCAACCTTTTAAAAATTACATGATTGAATTTTCCTCTAACAATTTGTCTGCTTAGGTATGTTAACAGTACAGTTTACATATTACTTAACAAAAATAGCACCTCACATAAAATTTAGGTGAATTTGGAGAAAGCATCCAAATATCTAGGAGTGCGGGAAAAATATATTTATATATATGTATATATATACACATATATGTATATATATATATTTATATATATGGAGAGAGAGGAAGAAAAACAGAGATAGAGAGTTAGCTAATTTCATTACTTAAACTCTTTAGATTTTCAAGCCATAAATATTTTTTTAAAGTTATATAGCTTTAAAACTTAGGAACTTAGAAAGGGACATGGATCAAAACTCTAGAGCTAGAAGAGGCCTCAGAGGTCATCTGGTCTAACTCCCTAATTTAGAGATGAAGAAAAATGAGATCCAGGGAAAATAAATTACTTTCCTAAGGTCAAAGGCAGGATTTGAATGCTGGTCCTCTGACTCAAAGAGTTGGTACTTTTTCCAGTGTATCAAGTTTAATTTGCAGATTAAAGAAGAAATTCTAGAAAAACAAACCTCGTAAGAAAATCCAAAATGCAGATATCAATACTACAAAGATTTCGCATAGTAGTCACTCATTTAATAAAGTCTATTCAGTGTTGTCTTTTGAGATGGTTAAACAAATCCCACAGCATTTGCTTTATACACCCATAATCACAGATTATTATGGCTTACAAAGCAGGAAGGCATAAAGAGCTTCTGCAATTCACTATAATGTAATAGAACATGTAGAGGAAGTTAATTTTAGTTGATGTTTTAAATAGTGGCTTTGCATAATATATAGGTGAAACTATAATTAGAAGAGAATAATCTCTGTAGCCTCTTTTATTCTCTCTGAACATGATGACTTTTTGCTAATAACACCACTACTACTTGACAAAAAGGCAAGTACAGCTACATTCTTCATTAAATTTAATAATTATAGCTACTCCTGCCAATAGCTCTCTAATCAAATTCATTCAGTGCAATACTGAGCTTATTGGGGACAGCTCTATGTTTAGAATTCTTTGGCCAAAAAAGCACTTGAGGATGATGAAGCATGCCTTGGACAAGGGCATAATGATTAGCCATTTTCTCTGTATTAAAAAACAACAAAAAACCCTAAAAAACCACCCAGAACACAGTCACTATAGACCACAAATAACCTGCTGTTAGTACAGGGCTTTTTAAAAAAGGTTCTGCATTTATCTGGTCTTTAATACCTTTAAGGTAACCTAAAGGCTTCAGCTTAACAGAAGTGAAGCATGGTACTAAGTATCAAAATTAAATGCCTCTATTTCAAGTTTTCCTCTTCTGTCTTTACCATAGCTGTCTGATATTGGCATAATATATTTTATATGAAATTCTAGAACTGTCTTGTTAAATAGCTGAATTCGATTTTTAAAAGATATTTCAATTCCAGAAATGGTCTTCATATTCTTTTGAACAAAAATGAAATGTTCTACCTACTTAAACTACAGAAAACCATTTCTTCTCCTCAGCTAGAAAACTATTTTCCCCCATACATTTACTGTTTTTAAGTAACATCAGATTCAATGGTTAATTTTAATTTTGCAAAGCTAATATAAGGGATCACTGTAAAATTGCCTATAACAATTATGGTCTGTGTTAATTCATTATGTACTGCTTTAATGGTATTACCTTCTTTTCTTCATGTATTAAAGTATTATTTAAATCTTTATTACCTAGATATCTACATAGCCAGATAGGTTTTGCTTCTCCAAAAAAATCACTGTAAGATCCTGGAAAGAATTATAATGTATCTTTCTATCTCTCATATTGCCTAGCATGGTTCCTTGAACATTCTACATATATCATACATACATTTTTGCTGATTTGAGTTGAGTTCAAATATGGCTTTTTTTTAAAGTTTAGATTAACTATTTATATTATTTCAAACCAGTCTTAAGTTCTTCATAAGTAAAATATTTGCTATATACATTACTATTTATCAAGTAAGTTTACACAAAGGCTCAGCTTGAAAAAAAAAGGAATTATCTTGGGTATTTAAGATTATGAAGGTTATGGGCAAGTTGCTTAACCTTTCTGTGCCCCTCTAGGAAATCCTAAATAAGTTACAGAGGAACTGGTGATCTGTATTAGTTGAATTACTTTCTATATCATCCTATATTGGTAAAATCACAGATCTAAGCAAAAAACAAAACAAAAAATGAACAAAAAACCTAAAGCCTAAGAATACACATGATAACATCTACTTTAACTATTATCTTTTGAAGTTACGTTTCAAAATAACAAATTCATGCTATAACATATTTGGATTTATCACTTAATATAGCCAAAAAATTTCATTCTATTACATCAATCCCTTAAAATTGTGTAGTGAGGAAACACTACATAAGTCTGTTCTGAACACAATTCATCATTGTACCTTCTGTGACTGGCTGGAGTTTTGAAGATCGTTCTGAATCAGGGGAATGAAGAGGTTCAGGCTCTTTCAGACTTTCCAAATGCATGAAAGGATCATAATCAATTGAAGCCAAATCAGAGAGGCTTAGGGGAAAGTACTTAGGATTGCTGAAACATTGAGCCCCATAAACACACCCATGAAGAACCTAAAAGCACAAGAAATCAATAAGACACTTTTTATCTTTCAACTTAAGTATTAAAAGAAGAAAAAAAGCAAGTTTATAAGAAAATTAAACTTGGTAGCATTTAGGACAACAGAATTTGTTATAAGGAACCTTGGATATCATTTAGTTCTAGTCCAACCTCCTGGTTTTAGAAATAAGGAAACTGCTAAAGGCTAGTAGAGAGGTTAATTTTTTCCCAAAATCTCCAGGTAGTAACAGAGTTGAGCAGAATTCTAACCTATTTATATACGCCACATACCAACTTGTTACCTTGTTTCTCTCTTAAAAACTTTTTTAGTTCCTTAAACCAACAAATTTATCAAGCAAGGCAAAAAGGACCACTTCATGATAATAGGAGTGAAGTTTAACTCATGCCTCTCGTATCAAATAATGGCCCATATCTCAAAATTTTAGCAAAAAATGGCATTTTAAAATTCACATTCAATAAGTACAAAATAAATCTTTGTGTATCTGGTTCTAAATGTAATATATTGTGGCTACCAAAGAAATATTCAAGCAGGAATACCTTATAAATACAACTGAGGACAGACTTTTCTGTTTTATCATTTTCAGCTCCTGTTGTATGAACTGGCTGGAGTAGGGTCTTTAAAGGCAAAGCCATGATCCAGTCCAATAAACACAAAAGTAATGATACCACCAACTGTAACAAAGGATTTTATTCATTATACATTCCATAAATAACAAGACTGTGAAATTTAATAATCTTCCCCCCGTTATTCTTTAGTTTACAGTTGCATTATTAAAGCTTCTGTCTTCAGCAAAAATAAGTCGAGCAACACAAAGAATATATAGAAAGAACTGAATTTTAGAAGTTCAGGTTAAGACCAATAGAGATAGAATTCATCATACTGTGTAAAGACAACAAAATAAAGCAGATTAGAATTTTAAAGTTGTCTACATTATTTAAAAATATCATAACAATGGACAACTATTGATCAATCCACAAGCATTTATTAAGCTACATACCAGGCAGATACCATGCACTGGGGATACAACATAGATATACACAATCCATACATGTATGTACATATGTACACATATGTGTACAGAATAAATACATCCAGAATAAATAAAAAATAAGTATAAAGTAGTTAAATATAAGGTGAGGATAGGTGCTACTAGATTTGCCATGTTGGTTCACAAACACAAGTCTCTTAGGAGGAAAAAAATAAACTATTTCCAGTATTTTTTCAAATGCAGCTTATTTTCACCAAAGAAGCTCCATTTGTCTTTCTAAACACTGGTCTTCTCAAGTTTTAAATAACTAAAATTAAAAATTATTTTCCCCCTCACCAAATTTGGAACATGAAATGATAACCTCCATATGGCAAATTATATCAAGAAGATCACAGCTACTATTATTATCTTGGAAACTAAGTAAAGAGAAGTTTTTTGGTCTTCAGAGTTACAATTCAAACTCAATATGTACTTGACATGTTGGTATTTCTAACTAATAATGTCTAATTTGACACACCAAATCAACATACCCATTCCCCCAAAAACAGTATTTTGAAGAATGTGCCCTAAAAAATAGTCTAATTTATCACAAATTTGTAAACAATGCTTTATAATTTGAACACTCTATAAAACAGATATGAACCTTGACATTAAAATCAATTTAATTATTAAAGAGAAACTAAACTATATTAATATTATGAAGTTGTGTTGGTATATATATTGCACATCACAGATTAAGTATTTGTAAAAATAAATACTTAAAACCTCAATTTATAATACATTAAAAATTAGCTCTGTTCAATTACCCTTTTGTCAATTTCATAAGATGAGGCTTCTGTACTGGGTAAAAGATGAGTAACAGTGGCTATCAGTATCTATAGGCAAAGAAAAAAATTATTTTTCTTTTAAAATCTAATTAACTAATGAAAATCCTTCAAATCATACTTATTAAATATTATAATTATTCTAAACTGATTACTAATATGGGTCATGATTATAATGACATTCAATCACTTCAAATACCGTTTTAAAAAATGGCAATTTCCATACGCACCTTCAAATTTCAAGCTTACAATCTATTTTTGCAGTTCCACAAAAATAAAATACATACAAGCAAAATTAAACTAAGCGCAGATACCATCTAAAATTACCAAAATTATCAAGTTGTAAACTAATTTTTTTGATTCAGTCATTTTTCAGTAGTGTCTGACTCCTCATGACCCCATCTGGGGTTTTCTTGGCAAAGATACCGGAGTGGTTTGCCATTTCCTTCTCCACTTCATTTTAAAAATAAGGAACTTGAGGCAGACAGGGTAAAGTGACTTGCTCAGAGTCACACAGCTAGTAAGTGTCTGAGGCCAGATTTGAACTCAAGAAAGATGAGTCTTCCTGACTCCAAGCCCAGCACTCTACTCACTGTGCCACCTATAGCAATAAAGTAAAATTAATTTTATATCACTCAATTTCTCCCAATATTAAGTTGTAATGCAATAAAAAAGAATGCTTATTGGTGATTTAAAAAAACAAAAACAAAAAAATGAAATGCCTTAAAACCATTGCTCTCTCAATAACAAATAGCTACCTATTTGAACTTTCTCATTTCTATTGAACATATATATTCACCAGGTCTGGTTTCCTCTAGTGGGTTCAAGTTTTAGAGGTGAATTCAAAAGAATTTTGTAAATTACTGCTTCAGTGCAACCAATATATCTAGCAGAATGTAGTACATTTATGAATTCACAAAGTATACTTTATATCTACAATTTTTAAAAGGCCTATTTCCTTTTTTCTGTAATTAGGTAACCATTAGTGAACTGTTTCAGTATTTTGTGCTTCAGTCCTTCATTTAAATTTGTGGAGACAATTCTTGCTTCCTTGTCTGCATAGTCTGACTCTATTTAGTGAAATGGAAAAACTGAATCAAACAAAAATTTACATTACAATGCAGAATAATCCGCCACATTTTAAAATGGTTCCACCTCTTACATATATAAATTTTATTCAAATCTCAAGTGGACATCATCACTATATATTATAGAAGATATCTAATCCAAAATATTAATCACCTCTTTTTGGTGAAAATTCTAAGACATGAAATTAAGAAATGTAAATTGCCACCCAACTGGGAAAAGAACCTCTCTGTCTATGAAAATGTAAATAGTCGACTTATATAGCAGCAATGGAGTCAGAATACATGTTCAGAAACATAATTACAATTATTTGTGTAAAGTTTACATTTATAATTTCCATGCATGTATTTACTATTCAATAATTGTTAATAACAATTTAAGTCTAAATAATTAGCCATGACTCCAGAGAACTGATAAAGTTGCCCACCTCATCAAAGAGAGGTGATGGAATAACACAGAATGAGGAATGCATTTTTGGACATGGCTAAATTTGCTTTACTTGACTATGCTTACACGATATAAAAGTTTTTCACCTATCTATGTAGCTATCTTCCTTTTCTTTCTTATGTAGGCGGAGGGAAGTGGGAAGGGATAACATGGTCATACCTGCACTTTAGGAAAATCAATTTAACATCTGAGAGTAGAGAATGGACAAGAGTGGGGACAGACTTGAGATAAGCAAACCAAACCAAAAGGCAGGCTATTGTTAACAGCTCAAATGTGAAGTGACAAAGATCTACACAAGGGTGATAGCACTATCAGAGGAGAAAAGGGAACATATACAAGAGATGTTATATGGAGGGTGAGAGAGTGAAGAATTAAGGATGACACCCAGGTTGTGAGCCTGAGTAGCTTGGGAGAATAGTAGTGCCATCAAAGATATGAGGGAAATTAGGCAGGGGGGATCTGGGGAAAAGATAATGTTTTGGTCAATTTGAATTTAAAAGGTTTATGAGACACTGAATTCAAGATACCTAATAGGTAGTTGGAAATGTGAGACTGGAAGTTAGAAAGTCTGGACAAAGGGATCTCAGAATTACCTACAGAAAGATAATTGAGATTACCAAGTGAAGTAATATAGAGGGGGGAAAAGTATGTATGTTTTTTTACAGGGAAGGTGGAGAACAGTTAATGGGTGCAACCTGGATAAAGATCCTGCAAACAAGACAGAAAAGGAATTGTCAGAAAAACCAGGAGAGAGCATTATCACACCCCCCCAAAACAAATAAAACTAAAGAGATTAAGAGAGCATCAAGGAGAAGAGGATGATCAATAGTGTCCAAGGCTACAGAGAAGTCAAAAAGGATGCGGATTAAGAAAAAGACATTACATTTGGCAATTATAATTGGAGACTATGGAGACAGACTTTCAGTTGAATGATGAAGTTAGAAGCCAGACTGCAAAGAATTGAGAGGAAAGGCTGTCTATTATAGACGGCCTTCTCAAAGAGGTTAGCCATAAAAGAGGGGAGAGCTATAAGAGCTAGGAAGGATGGGTGGATGAAATGAGAATTTTTTGAGGATGGGAAAGACAGGACATATTTGTAGGGAGCAGGGAAAAAGCCAGTAGATAGGTAGAGAATGAAGACAACTGAGAAAGGGCCAATGATAGAGGGGGCAATCTGCTGCAGAACATAGGGTGGAATTGCACACACTTGCCTTGGCAAGGAGATGGACCACCTCATTATGTGAGGTAAGTGCAAAGGAAGAGATAACGGCAGAAGTCAGAGGTGATGATGTGAGATGTAGAGGGGAAAAGCTGGAGCTTTCTGCAAATGGGCTCAACTTTTTTTTTTTTTTAGCAAAACATCCTACTGATATTTCTAATATCAAGAAAACCAGAAACTATACGGAAATTGTAGATAAATGGAAGATAGTTCCTTGGAAAGGCAAAGGAAACGATGGAGGAGTTGGTTTCTTTGTGCATCCCAAGGTGACAAGAAATATCCATTCCAGGGACACAATCTCCTTCTCTTCCATTTTTCATAATGAGCATAAGCAAAAAGACTATAAACATAAGATGTGTGCAACTTTCATATTAACTTCTCTCATAGTAGATAAGGTGTTGTAAGTAAGGTGGATTTTAGTGTGGATAAGCAGGATTTTGTTATTCCTTTTTAGATAATAGTTCCAGCGTCCTAGATAATATTTCTCACAGTCATGGTTTGTAAACATCTCCACCATTGCACAGTAAGATACAAGGTTGACATAATATACGCTTGTGCTGTGCTAGGTCATTACGGTATTGCTAAAGTTAACCTGTGAGCTTAATGTTGGCAATATGCCTTCTTCATCTGTTGCCCTATGAAGCAAGTGGGCATTAGTCAGTAAGTGGGGAACTCATTTTGGGATTTGGGTAATGCATAGAGGAATGCATGTACCTACCTTGATTGGCCCTCCATCAAGGCTTGGGGGAATCTGTGTTTGCTTCAACCAGCCCCCATCAAGGCTTGGGGGAAATCTGTGTTTGCCTCAACCAGGCCCCATTGAGGCTTAGGGGATTTTGAAGGAATTGTACTCCTACTCTTGCCTGCCCCTGTGAAAAATGTGATGAGGAGATGCTGTAGGAGTTGGTGCTCCTATTATCAGCAACCCTTCTGAGAAGATTAGACTAGAATAAAATAAGCTTATTTAATTCTTTTGAAGCTGTCTTCCTGTCTGACTGCATCAAAAATGAACCTGTGCTAGAACACCTGTTAGTGTTAGGAGACCTCCTGTGTTCTCCTGCCCAACAAATGGTGTTACTTGTGTGTTTATTACCTGTGAAGTGTAAAAGAGGTTCTGTGAAGAATTTAATAAAACCCTTCAAATCAAATCAACATACAGCTTATATTTAGCCGCTTCAATATAAAGTTGAGATATGGCAGGAGAATGAAAAATACGATAAAAAATGTATCAGGATTAAGAAAAAAAAGAAGCCAAACACAAGAAGCCTCATGCCTACAGATAATGAATACATTTTTAGAGGGGTGTTGGAAATGGCCAGATAAGATAACACTGAAAAATAGCACAAAAAATTATTTGATTCTTCTGACAGGAAACAAATAGTTACCTATGTGAGAGCAATTTCTGAATCAGCTCTCAGAATCAAACCATTGATTTCTTAAAGTAAAGCACAAAATCAATATAAAATGAGAATTAAATTGAGATGTGGTGTGCAACTAAGGCAACTCCAACCTAATTCATCAAAATAAGCCTTTAATGCTAAAAAAAAAAAAAAGAGAAATGAGGTAAAGAAGACCATAAGTATTCCTAAGGAAGTTTAATTGACATATATTGAAAACCAAATGAGGATACCAAAAAGAACTCCTCAGCAAGCAAACACTTGATCTTGAAAAGCAGAAAGATATGGAACCCAGGGGTAACACCAGTTTAGAATATAAGCTTGTCTGTAAAATTTTATGGAAGTTAGTGGAAGATTACGAACCTCACCTCATCAAATAGCAAAATATAGTGTAGAGAAAATAAGTTTCATCATTTGAGCAAGATCATTCTGAGAGCACTAAAGATAGAACTGGATGGAAGACAACAGACAAAAACATGAAAAAGATGTGTCAAAATTTCCATAGCACTGAAAGTGGAGCTGCCGCATTTGAACACTGACATCATAATTCCACAAGGAAGGAGAAAAGGCACTAAGGAAAACAAAGATGAAAAGAGGATCTGGACTAGACAAAAGTTTACAAAGAGATGAGATCTGTGTTGTAGGTGACAATTTTGATGAGTTATTTCTCAAGATATCTGAAACAGCAGAATATACTAAACTTTTTTTTTTTTAGAAAAAAAAACATGCATTATCAACCAATTAGGGCAACTTGCCAATTTTCTTGGACAAAAGCAAAGTGAAACTCTAGTAATATATACATAGTCAAGCAAAGCAAATTTTCACAGTGACCATGTCCAAGTTACTGTTTCAATTAGTTTTTTAGGTAACTCACTAGGGTTCTCTAAGTAAAACATCATCTGCAAAAAGTGATAATTTTGTTTCATCTTGACCTATGTTTATTCTGTCAATTTTTTTCTTGTCTTACTGCTGAAGCTAGCATTTCTAGCATTACTAAAGAGTAATGGTAATAATGGACAAACTTGCTTTCAGTAAGTGACCTTAATGAAAAACTCTAGTTTATGCATTTCACAAATAATGCAAACTCTTGGTTTTATTAAATACCATGTTAAGGAAAGATTCATTTAATTCTAATTTTTTTAAAAGCAGAAATGGTGTTGAATTTTGTCAGAAGCCTTTTCTGAATATACTAATAGAAGCATATAAATTTATTTTTCTCATTAATATAGTGAATAAGGTTTATATTTTTACTAATATTGAAACAACCCTAGATTCCTGGTAAGTTGCAGAGAGCTTATATAACCTGCATCAGTGGAAGGAGTGCTCACAGTGATATTTCACAATCAATCCTTTGATTTCAGAAATAAAAATTACCCCACTAAAGGTTCTTTTTTAATGTATTAAAAACCTTTATTCAACTTGTTATTTTATAAACTGCTTAGTGAAAAACTACAAAAAGGAAATTTTCAATTATCATTATCATCAAAAGCAGCCATTAGATATGTAAATATACTAAGGATCTATGATTTCAGTAGTGTAGGAAATCCAAGAATTAACACAGATTACAACCCATTTAAAACTTGGTAGAGAAATTCTGGGAAACTTCTAGCAGCTAAGAGACATTACATGAATTTTCCACAGATACATACTAATGTATCCAAAGTGGGATTTAAACATAAGAACTCTGATTCCAAATGACTCGATGACTGTCATTTTTATAGATAAGATTAAAATATATTCTCAAGATTTTCAATTCAATTCTATTGAAATTTTCAATATTCAATTGAAGAACAACAAACCAAGACATTTCCTTATCCCAAGATTTTCTAAACTATGATTAAAAAGTAAATTAAAAATTACTTACTTGAATAATTTTCAAGGGGGAATCAGGCTGATAAATCTGAAGCCTATGTACATATTGAATCAGCATATGAAGCATGTTGCAAGCCACATGGGCTACAGTTTTATTAGGAAACTAAAAAAAAAAGAATAATTTAAGTTTTCTGTCTCAATTCATATGTGGATGTTACTTTAAATGTTTCTGGACTGCCACCTACTGATGACAGGTTGTACATGCTCAGGAATTGTAAAATAATTTTAATATTAACAAGAATGATGACACAAAAAATATCCATAATATGTTACCAAGCCAAATACAAACAACTGTTGATTATATACTCTTTTATATTATCTTTACAGCCTATTATCTATGATAATGGGAAAAAAAAGAATTAGCTGTTTTCATTCAATTATTTTTTAAAATTATTAATTAAATCCTTAGTAATGGGTAGAATATTGCTGTGCACGAGTATGATGAATATAATGAAACATGGAAAGACTACAATGAATTGATGCAAGGTAAGGTAAATAAAATCAGGAAGATAATACAGAACAACGAATGGCAAAAACAAAATGATCAAAGCTGAATGCTGTGAAATAATGACCAAGCTTTCGACTCCCCCCAAAAAAGACAGATGAGTAGATATTTCCCTCTTCCCAGACACTTCTTTGCAGAGGAGGAGAACACTATGGATGTGGAACATTGCATATAATGTCAGAGTTTTTTGAGACGCTGGTTATTATTGCTGAACTTTTTTTCTTCTTTATAAAGGAAAGTCCTCTGGCAGTGGTTGTAGGAAGGAAGCAGTGAAAAATTTAGGTCATGTCAAAATCGAAGAATCAATAATATTTTTTAATAGTCATTGCTATTTTCATTGGCATTTATTCTAGAAGTATGTTCTTACTTGTGATCAAAACCAGCTCTGGCTACCACATGAATTCAGCTTCATGGACTATAAAAATTACACTTAAGATCTTTTAATAGGAAATTATGCATGTCAATATGGAACTGAGATTAGCAAGAACAGCATGTAGGAAGGCGAATACATGACAAAGAAAGTGTGAAAGAAATATATTAAAAAAAAAACTTATCAAGCTTTACCTATATTTCAAATAGCTAGTTTCTACTGTATCACTGGTTCAGAAATACTGTGGGCACACAGTAAAAGGTTAGGAAAGGGAAGATAAAACTGGCCCTCAGAAACATACACCTTGATTATAAGAGTTGGGGGTACTGTTAAAGGAGGAACTAGTATTAAAGATGCAATTTAATGAGAAAATGATAATGATCATTTTGAAAAATGTAATTCTTCTAATTCCCAAAGTGCTTATATTTGAAAAATGTCTGTAGGCCACGCTTTCCCCATACCCCAAACAATAACAACAACAAAAAACCTGTATTTCCTACAGTTGTATGATGGAATGTCTTTGAAAAGCATCTCACCTTTAAGGAAACACAAATTACATTCAGAGCTTCCTTAATTTGAGGATGATGAGATTCATGAACTAATTCTTCACAGATCCAAATTCCTAAACTACAGAGGGCAACACACCTGAAAAAACAGGCAACCGGTATTAGTATAAAACTAGGTATGATTTTAAATAAAATAAAACTACAAAAGAACTTAAAGCACATACAGCAGAATAAATGATTTATGATTTCTACACCACCAGAAATTAGGTGAACAAATATTATAAGTAATACATTTTTTGTCATTAATTGTATGAAACTGATGCATGTAAAAAATTAAACACACTGATAAACTGTAAATACAAAACCCTCCAAAATAAGAGTAACCTGATAGAAGTTATTTTGTTCTCTAGGCAGGCAGACCTACATATGAAATGGATTAATAAAAGTAAATGTTTTCTTTAATGGCCTAACTTCAAAAAAAGGAGCATTTTAGAGTGTAAGTTCTGCTCCTTAATGCTATACAAGAAATTAGCACACTAGATGCATGCTTTCTTTATACCTTAGCCAAACTGAAGTTTACCAACTGAACTGCCAATATTGCATTGTCTTTGGAACTGCAGTGAAGCTTATACCAGTACTCTACATAGAGTAATTGGCAAATTGTTCTACATTTTCCCCATGCAGTTTTTCTGGTATATGATTTGTTGTTTAGTTGTTTTCAGTCGTGTCTGACTCTTTTATGACCCCAATTGGGGTTTTCTTGGCAAAGATACTGAAGTGGTTTGCCATTTCTTTCTCCAGCTCATTTTACAGATGAGGAACTAAGGCATGCAGGGTTAAGTGACTTCCCCCAGGGCCCCACAGCTAGTAAGTGTCTGAGACCCATTTTGAACTCATGAAGATGAGTCTTCCTAATTCTAAGCTCTGTGCCTTATCTACTGTGCCACCTAGCTGCCCTTGACATATTATATCTTCTCCTAAAGCAATTATAAATAGACATCATTTAATATTTAGGAATTACATAGATTTTTGAATTTATAAAAAAAATCAACGCATAAAACTCATATGGAAAGATAATCTGGAAAATTCTTTTTGCCCACTATTTTTACTACCTCCACCATGACAGTGTTACCATGAAGAGAATATTAGGTGAGATTTGGAACTAACACATGAATTTAAATCTCATTTTGCCATTTTCAAACTATATAACCTTGTGTAAGTTATACAACCTCTCTGGGGCTCAGTTTCCTCATTTGCAAAATGATATTTGTGCCACTTTCCATACAGGGTTGTTGGGAAGATAAGCGAGATCAAAGAGCTTTGTAACCATAATGTGCTCACTCTCTCTCTCTGGACACACACACACACACACACACACACACACACACACACACACACGATCATATAATTTATAGGCAGAAAGGACTTTGGAGGACGTAACGGTGAATACCTTCATTGTACCAACAAGGAAACTGAGGCTCAGACAGGGTAGAATTTGAACCCAGGTACTCTGACTTCACTGTTATTGTTTTCTCATTAATTCACCAAACAAAAGTATCAGAACTCCAACAAGAGTTACCATTATCTCATTCATTCTTATCAACGCCCCCCTACGGTCAAGGCAAATGAATCAGAGAAAAGAGAACACATGTACTCTAGTTTTTAAAGTCAGATATTTAGCAACAGGAAAAAGTAACCAAGAAAAACTAAGGAAATCCAAAACCCAACAAACTATAGACAGAGACCAAGAGTGCCAAAAGAAAGGTACTGTTTTCTCATCTATAAAATGAGTGTGTTTACTCTTTTAATTACAATAAGAAGTAATGCTATTCTTAGATTTTGCCTCCAGATAACCACAATTTAGAGTTGTTTGGCTTATAAATGTGGCTTTTGCAAAAGCTGTCCACATGCCTAGGATACCTTGGGTTCATCCTCCCTTAACCCCCCAAAAAAAACCCAACCCTAAAACTTCTGAAGCTGAAATCTCTAGGAAAGAGGATTGGTATCAACTGGAAAGGAAATGTGGTTTTCAGAAACACACACTGAATTTTTAAAATAATTTTAATTATTAAATTAATAAATACTTCATTAATAATTATAATATAAAGTACATATAATATATAACAAAACCAATAATTATATTTCTTAAATAAGAAAATATTAAATTAATAACTAATGATAAATTTAATGATGTTTTAATAATAAATACTTTAATAAAATTACTGATTTTTCTATTTTTCTTTTGTAGCTAATTTTGTTGGTATTCAACTAAGAAATACCTGCAGTCCAGTTGAAAGCTAGAAATATTAATCAGTCAAAGAGCTGAAATGACTTATTTTTAAATCCAATAAGAAGAAAGTACACTTGGGCTAGGCATTGGATCCAATTGCCATAGCTTACTTTTAAACACACACACACACACTCACTCTCTCTCTCTCTCTCTCTCTCTCTCTCTCAATCCAGCCAGTCATTCATTCTTTTAACTTGTTTGTTTGTCCACCTAGGAGCTGGTAGTTAGTTAAAAAGACCTGGGCTTCACAGAGCTATAAAACAGAAAGAACATTACAAATTATAACAAATCAACCAATTGACTAACATCTATCAAATAACTACTATGTGCCAATCACTGTGCTAACATTACAAACACACACACAGATGTATGCGTATGGATAGAGAATGAATTTGAGATTTCATTGGTAAAAGAAAATCTCTGGATGAGGAAACTGCCTCTTATCAATGTAGGTTAGCTCCTTCTCTGAAACTTTTAATCTTACAAAGTTTCCCTGAGCAATAAGATGTTAAGTGACTTTCCTGCATTCATATAGCCAATAATATATGTCAGAGGAAAGATCTGGACATAAGTCTTCCTGGTTCCATGGCAATATTTCTATTTATTATGCCATGGTCCCTCAGACACACACACTCTACACATACATATATACACACGTATATATTACATATAATGTCTATGATGTGTATGTATAAACATTTACAGACATACATACACATACCTGGATAACACAAATATATATATGTATAATATGCACATAGTATAAATGAATATGTACCTACATATACAGAAAATAAACACAGGGTAGCTGAACACAAGGGAGTGGACAGAGGGCACTAAAAAGCAATTAAAATTATTTATTAAACACCTAGTTGGTGCCAGGCACTGTGTTAGGAGGTAAAGATACAAATACTGAAAATGAAAAAAAACTTTATTAGCCAGGAATTTACATCCTAATTGTGGAGAGAAGAAGTATATATAAAAATATATTCAGGACAAATATAAGGTAGATAAATAAAAATATATACAAAACAATTAAATACTATTTAGTAGTTTAGGAGGGAAGGCACTAGCAGTCAGAGTGATAAGGAAAGGTTTCATGCACAAGAGGATGCTTGAGCTTCATCTTAAGGAATAACGAGGGAGTGCACTCTAAGTATGGAAGACAGCCAGTGAAAAAGCAAGGAAATGGAGGATGAAGTGTCCTATGTAAAGAACAGAAGGCACTGTCTTGGTTGCAGGGTGTGGCAGGAGGAGTAATGTTCAATAAGGTTGGAAAATATTGAGGCCAGGCTTTAAAAGCTAAAGAGAGAGTTCATATTTTATCCTGAAGGCAAGAGGAACCTACTACTGTTTCTTGAGTACAGAATTTATATGGTAAGATCTGTGCCAAAGGAAAATTACCTTGGAAGCATTATGTAGGCTAGACTGAATGTGGAAAAGACTTAAGTCAGGAAGACCAATTAGGAGGCTGTTACAATAATCTAGAGGTGATAAGGACTCTGAACTAAGGTAGTAGCTGTGTAAGTAGAGAAAAGGGATCAGCTGTAAGAAATGCCGTGAAGGTAAAAACTTGTCAAGATTTGGTAAATGACTGGGTAAGTGGAACAAGAGTGAGTGAGGAGTCTAGGATAATGATGAGAATATGAAAGTGGGAAACTGGAAGGAAAGTGGGAAACTGGAAGGACAGTGAGGCCTGGGAGAATGAGAAAGGTTTAATGTAAACAGCAGTTCCTTGAAGAACAAGAGAAATTTTACAAAATAGGAGAGTGTGCTTTACAGGCCATGTATAGAGTGCCATGTATAAAGAACAGAGAAACGGAAAATACAGCTAGATTGCAAAAGGGTAGGAGGGGAAAGATAGATTGGGTCCAGATTATAAAAGGCTTTAAAAGCTAAAAGAAGAGTTTATAAGAAACTGGTCATATAAGAAATCTATAAGAACATGATCATATCTGTGATTAAGTAAAGTCACTTTGGCAGCTTGAATGAGGACAGATTTTTCACCCCTTTAATGGTGAGAGACTTGAGTAAGGGAGACCAACTATAAGGCCACTATAATAACTGTGGTTAGATCTGATAAATGCCAGAACTAAGATGGTATTTATACCACGGTTGTGGTAGTCAGACACAAAAGAAACTGTGAAGGTAAAAACAAGATGTGGGATAAGGATTTGAGAATAACACTGAAATCATAAATGTGTGAGGTAAGAAGAATGATGTTGCCTTCAACAGAAATAGGGAAGTTCAAAAGTGGGGTAAGTTTAGGGGAAAAGATGGGTCTTATTTTATACATGTTCAGTTGGAGATGTTTCTAGGACATCCAATTTGAAGTGTCCAATAAGCATTTGGGTAACATGAGAATGAATCTCAACGGAAACACAGGCTACATATAAGAGATCTAGAAATGACTGACATAGAGATGATCACTCAAACCATGGGAGCAAATGAGGTCACTACCAGAAAAGTATAGGATGCCCAGGAAAGAAGCTTGGAAAAACATCCATGACCTGGATGATGAACCAGTAAAGGAGACTGAGCACCTGTTAAGACAAGTAAAAAGAGAACCATCAGAGTGATATCATGAAAATTCAGTAAGGAGAGCACCCAGGAGAAGAGAGGATGGCCAATAGTGTAAAATGCAACAGATAGATCGAGAAGGCTGAAGACTGAAAAAAAAAGCCATCAGATTTGGCAATTAAGAGGTCTCACTGGCAATTCTGGAGGGAGAGAAGCCAGACTGCAAAGGATTGAGAAATGAGAAGAGAGAAAAGAGAAACAGAAGTATAAGCAGCTTTTTAAAGAATTTGGCTGAGAAAATGAAGAGAGATATGAGATGGTAACTTACCTGGAATTATAGGGTCTAGTGAAGGGTTTTTAAGGATGGGGGATACTTGGACAAATTTGAAGGCAATAAGGAAGGAACCAGTCATTAGGAGAGGTTAAAGTTTAGAGAAAAGAAAGTAAACATGAGAAAGGGGGATGACTGATTTTTCAATCTGTTGCAGAAGATAGAACAGAATGGGATCAAGGATTGTCCTTGGCAAGAAAAGCCACCTCATCGTCAGAGACTAGGGGTGAAAAAGGAGAGAGTCAGGGATGATGTCAGAGGGTTCTGAGAGGAGAACAGAGAGAGAGAGGCAAAATAGCCTCAGAGGCAAAAAGAAGCAAATTGCCTCAATTTATATTAGTAAAGTAAGAAGTTAAGGTCGTCCTCAGCTGAGAGAATGGAGAAGAGGAGATGTGGAAACTCTGAGAGAAGTTTTAGAATGGCCTCTGTGGGGAGTGAGTTAAGGAATCAATTAGGCAGGAATAAATCAAATCGAAGGGAGAGAAGGAGAGATGGAGGGAGAAAGGAAAGGAGGGAGAGTGCGAGAAGGGAAGAAAGGAAAGAAGGAGAGATGGATTTATTAAGTGTGTACTATAAGCCAGGCACTATGCACTGTGCTAAATACTTCACAAATATTATTTCATTTGATCCCTACAATAACTCTGGAAAATAGATGCTATTATCATGCCCATTTTACAGTTGATGAAACTGAAGCAAATAGAGGCTAAGTAACTTGCTCAGAGTCACACAGCTAGTAAGTATCTGAGGCTGGATTGTACCACTGTACCACCTAGCTTCCTGAGTGGTGATGGAGAACATGAATTTATAGTGTGTCAGTCAACATAGTTGCCTGACTTTCTCCAACTCCATTCAGCAGCATGTGAGTAGGAACAAAGCAAGTGGATGGTGGGCACCATCCAAGCCTGAAGCCTGACAAGGGTTGAAGATACTATGGAATTTAATTTGTTTAATTTGCTGGTTTAATTTGCAGATTGTGTGAATCTTGTCAAGTGAAGTCAAAGCAGGAGTGCCTCAGAGAGTACACAGTGGCTAGTGATAAATTTTAATTGTTAAATGAGATTTTTAATAGTCTAAAATTGAGAAACACGAAAAACGGAGATAAAGGAAGGTACACAGATGCCAACTTGCTGATTTAAATTTCAGCTGATTTTTTGTACATTATATCAATAATCCAAGAAAATAACATAAACTAGAGCTTATATATAAACATACCTTTTTTCCTTTTCCTACACTTTATTTTTTTTAATTCTTGTTCACCTTTTTCAATTCCAAAAACAGCATCCTGGCCACTTCAGTCAGTATAGCATGAGAGTCTCAATTTTAGGGCATGGGATTAATCCCTACATTGAGCAATATGTTTTGAGCAACTGGGTGATAAAGTGGATAGATTTCTTGTTTGAAATGTAATCAGGAAGAACTGAACTCAAATTTCACTTTGGGTACTTTATAGTTTTACGTCTCTGGGCAATTCACTTAATATGGACCAAGGGACATTAAGAAGCAGAAAATTTGGAGGTGTTATTTATTAAGGTAAATTAATTGCAGTATTATATATCTATATGAAAACAGAATTCATATTACATATAGATTTATATAGGTTCATCCTACATGAAAATCTTCAACCCAATCAAGAAAATAAGACAAAGCTGGTATTTTAAAAACTCACGAAAAATCTGAATTTATAATTCTCAAATAATAAATGACCAAATTAATCTCTTAACTCAATCAGGTTTCACAGATAGATAAAAATTAGTAGTGAATTAAGCATTCACAATAAGTTAAATTTATAATGCAGGATAGCTCTTATGGAATATTTCAAGCTATTATAAGTCAATTCTTAAAATGGACTCTTCCAAACAAGTTAATAATTCTTAATTAGTAACTATCTGACTGACCTTGCAGGACCAGAGGGTTCATCTCTCGCTGAACTTAACACAGTTTTGATTATGACTTCCTAAAACAAAGGAAAAAATGGTAAGTGCCTGCCAGAAAATGAATATATTTTATTACTAATAAGCATTCATATACATCACAGTCACACATATATACACTGAAAGGAGATTGTGTAACACGAGATAGAGAGATAGAAATATACACATGTGAGTATGTATATTAATATAAATACACTTTTAAAATAAAAGTAGCATGAATATAGCATATTGGAGATAGTCTGTTTTGGAACCAAGAAAGCTTTGGGTTCAAGTCTCATCTTTGTAACATTTCATATATGACTCCAAGTTAATCATCCTCTATATGTTTTAGGCAACTCTCAGATTTACATTGGTAGAGGAAGTGTTTCATGCAGGAGAGTTTGTTACACCAATGAAATCAAAGGTCCTGTGTCTTGTCCTTATACATATCCTCCTCTAAAAAATGTTCTAATTAGTATCTATTGAACTACATATTATAAATATATGTTCAACATTTATAATGTATTCAGGCATTTACAGAGTGAGGTAGTGTGGCACAGTGGACAGTGAGCCAGAGTCAGAAAGAACTGGTTTCAAAACTCACTTCTAACAATTAATTGGTTTTTACATTCTAGTAAAAATCACTTAACTTTTTACTGTCCCTGGCCACTTTCTAAGATTATAAGTAGTTGGACAGTTGATGATCTTGCATTAGCAAAGGAAGTTTCTTCAATGGAAGTTCCTCATACCAAAGAAATTACAGGTCTAGGCAGGGATGTGCTGGTAAATGTTAACAATCAGCTCTCCGGGGAAAACACATATACATGACACACTTCCAAGTTTAATCTGCATTATTAACATTTTTCTATCACTTAATTAAGTTTATGAGATCAACAAAATAATAAATCAAGTTATGATTTGTAATGTTTGCTGATAAACAATGTGTAAGTACTCACAATGAAAATTTAACAACTACGTCTTGCAAGTTCATTTGAGGTGGCCTCAGAGGTGGCTCCAGCACACCAGTAGGTCTAAGACAGACACAGACACACAGACTCTATATGCACACACATACAAATATACATATACACAAATATACACCACTGTGTCCTTCAGGCTTAAATTTCTTGCTCTCTGGTCCTTACAATGTTCTTTCTCTGAAAAACTTTAATATGGGGTCACCTAATTATTTACTTACTCTGTTCCTCCTACTGTCTAACTGCTGGTATGCCTTAATAGTACATAGTCTCTTTTGTAAACTGTCACTCTGTCTCCTTTGACCACTGGCACAACTAGGATTTGCTTTTTCATGTGTTTAGTAGTTGCTCCTATATTTTAAATGTTTTAGTATTTTTTTTTGCTTCTAACATCTAATATTTCCCAATACTGTCCTTTAAACTGTAACAGAACTCTCTGTTGCATTAAAACAGCATTATCTTCCCTCCATAATTTAGACAAACACTACCGTTTTCTGCCATTTTTTTATGTACTTTTTAATATTTAAGTAAATGACATACCTGGGCTGTCATATGATTTAAGATACGGATCTAAATATTTTTGTTGCTATAAAAATAACCAGTGATCAAATTACATTAAAATAATAAATCCATTTCCAGGTTCTTATTTTTGATAACTAACACTGATGTTCTATAAATATTTTTTTGGACAACTTTCTGTTCATTTCTATTGATCTATTTCTCAGTTTTTTTGCCTAGTACCAGAAAATTTTGATCATAACAAAGTATTTTGTCACAAATGCAAGTCTACCTTTAATAACATTCCTGCCTAAGGCCAATGCCCATTAATAAAGGCAGTTACTTTACCCATATAACTGGCATGTAAGTGCCAAATTAGTTTACCATATAATTTTTTAAAATTCTCAGTTCAATGAAAAGTCTCCCTTGAAACTTTATTTGGGATTTCACTAAATACATAATTAAATGCTGGGAATTCTATAATTTTTACAGTATTGATCCCACAGATTCCACATCTCACTGCCATGTGACTTTTTAATTCCAGGATAGTAAAAATAAATATCACAGAGAGCAATATAGATGTGCAGCAGGTGTGAGTGGACTGCAACATATAACCAAATGTATGGTCCAAAGAAGAGAAATAAAAGATTTAATCAAGTAATTTGGATAGGAAGCAATAACTGGACAGTTAAGTGGCAAAGATGAGAGATGTTAGGTAGACAGCCAGAATGATTCACTAGTACCCTCATGACATTAGCAGAAATCAAGGAAGGGCTCCTTCAAGTTGGGAGATTCTGCTGTGGTGAGCTTATGGGAGGACAAGTAAGAGAGTCACAAGCACAGATGGGCTGTGATCTGCATTGCTAGAAGAAAATCTGTTATTGTTCAGTTATGCCTGACTCTTTGTGACCCCATGGATCACAGCATGCCAGGCCCTGTAAATATATCCAGTATCTCTTGAAGTCTATCCAATTTCATGTTCACTGTCGACACTATCTATCTCATCCTCTTCCATACCCTTTTCCTTTTGCCTTAAATCTTTCCCAACATCAGAATATTTTCCAATTAGTCCTGTCTTTTTGTTTATGTACCAAAGTATTGAGCTTCAGCTCAGTTTGACCTTCCAGTGAACAGCCAGAATTAATTTCCTTAAATACTGACTGAATTGATCTCCTCGCTGTCCAAGGGACTCTCAAAAGTCTTTTCCTGCACCACAATTTGAAAGTGTTGACTCTGGGGGGCAGCTACGTGGCACAGTAGATAGAGCACCAGCCCTGAATTCAGAAGGACCTGAGTTCAAATCCGGCCTCAGACACATAACACTTACTAGCTGTGTGACCCTGGGCAAGTCACTTAACCCCATTGCCTAGCCGCCTGCCCCCCCCCCAAAAAGAAACAAAGAAAGTGTTGACTCTGTGGCGCTCAGCTTTCCTTTAAGACCAATTCTCACAAGTATACAGTGCTACTGGAAAAACCACTGCGTTGACCATACAAACCTCTGTCAGTAAAGTGATGTCTCTGCTTTTTTAGTACGAATCGATAAAATTCTAAATCTCTTTGAGTACATCAATACTGAGCTCTAACACATCTGTGACTGATAAATTTAGAATTTTAAAAGATAACAGTTATAGTTTTATAGCTGTCCCAATTATATGTCTAGTTAAATCTATAAGAAAGGCTATGTTAAGTATGTGCAACTTTTTGTTATTGTACATAGGTGTTTTTTTTTAGTGAGTCACTATTTTCCTGATATTTATGGCTGATATGTAAAAGAATGTGAGTGATTTCTCTGGGCTAATCTTCTCTCTTGTAACACTGCTGAACTCAAAATATCACAGGAGCATAGATTAAGATCTAGAAAGGACTTCAGAAGCCATCTAATACAACTCCTTTTTACAGATGAGGAAACTGAGGCCTAAAGAGGTTAAAGGACTTCTTTAGGGTCACACAGCTAAGAAGGATCACACAATTGGAACTCCAGTCTTCCTGACTCCAAATTTAGTGCCCTACCTACACCATTTGAATTATGTAACATTTATTATCAATATTTTGGTTAAGACAGGTAGACTGCTTATTTACGCTCTCATGACATACTCAAATTGATGTGATTCTGACCTACATTTTCCACATTTCATATATATATATATATATATATACACACATACACACACACATATATATAAACAAAATCTAATATACTTTCCTTATACAACTGTAACTGCTACATCCAACATTATGCTAAATAGCAGTGATGAAAGTAGCTACTTTTGTGCCCATTTTTAAATGAAAATATTTTTAAGGTTACTTTATGACCTATTGTTTTGGCTCTTGGTTAAAAGGATATGCTTTCATGTGTTGAAGAAAAATCTATTTCTTTGTTTTTTAGTGATTTTACAATGAATAAATAATGTTAATTTAAAAGGTTTTATGGCATCTACTGATATAACAATACATTTTGTTCATATGTTATATTGTCTTAATAGTTTTCTAATGTTAAATCACCATTTCATTCCTGGTATAAATCCTTCCTGATATAATGAATGAGTCATATTGCTACATTCTGTGAGTTATTTTATGTCGTATTTGTGCATATTCACTGATTTACTGATATTCATTTGTTAACTGCTTCATAACTTTTTTAGTGTTACCTTTTCTAAAAATCAACAACATATCTGCTTTATAAAAGGATTGCCTGTATTTACGATAACATATGTAACAAACTGTTTATCAGATTTAGTCCTATTTCAATGCCTCATCAACATGTGGAGGTGACTGACCCTAGATTGTTACAAACTGTGGAGCAAAAAGCTCTGGCAGATTGTACCACACAGCAGAGTCTTTGAGAATGACGATCTAGACAACAGACTATGTCTACCTTCCCAGGACCAATGTTCCTGAGAGTGGAGAACCTGAAGACTGGACACTTCAAATTAGGACAACAAATTTTTATGAAGCACTTGCTATATTCCAGGCACTATGCTATGCAAAGTGACACAAATATAAGCAAAAGGAGTTTGTGATCAAATGGCTGAGAAAAATAACATGTAAAGTGAGTTGAAGTACCTGAGCAAGGAGGCAGTGGTGAGAATAAAAGATGGCTGGACTAGGCCCTTCCTCAAAATGTATTTTCCAGGAGGAATGCACCAATGGGAGAAGGGGGACAGAAGGAAAAGGCAAGTGGAGTATGGTGGAAAAATTCAGGAACTGAAGCATAGTTGGTCTGGGAGCTTTCTTAAAATTCTAGGAAGAACTCAACAATGGAAGATGGGGGCTACCAGGTGGAGGGAGAAGACAATTAAAGCATGGCAGTGGTTTATTCTTTGGCCATGGAAATTCATTAAAAGGAAAGTTACAAAATGATTCTAGGTAGCTACATTCTACTGGTGTGTATATAAATATCAGCTTAACTATTGGTACCCTAAGTATGAGAGCCTTATAGAATGAGTGAACATATACTAGAAGAACGAATCACATCAACCTTGACATTCTTGCAATAAAATGAAACCAGAAGACCCCAAAAAAGTAGCAGCTACATAGAGGATGCTCACAGGTTCTCCTTGGAGAGGAAA